TACAGTAAATCAGAGCAATTATATCGCACTCCAAGACCCACTCTGATCATTTCTAGCCATCCTTTTGTTCCAGGATTATAATAGGAAACTCGCATTTGTAAACCATTGGTACGTGCCACCACATCTATCACTTTGGAAGACTCGGCAGAATGAGGCGAAACCGCACAAATTCCAGGATCAAATGGCAACGGCTCAGGTGACAGACAGTCCTCAAGTACACAACTCTGCAAGTACAGAGTATAGGCACAAGAAGAGCATCCGGATCACTGGGGATAAAAGTCAGTGAGGTCAGTAAAAGACACCAACAACCCCTTACCTTTACACCCCTAACTAAGGTGTTTGCAGATCTGACACAGTCTTTCTTTGTAAAGACCTCTTCTGACATGAAAGCACTATATAAATGCATGCTGTAATGCAAGATACAAAATAGTGATTAACAGTCACAAGCAACTAAATCACAGCTTCTCACTAGATATGCTGACCACATGTCCACACCATTGATAATAGACTTCATCTTGATCCAGAGGGCACTTTTCTGGGTTGCAAGCTGTATGAATAGCACAGCCAAAGGTCTGTGTGTCTAAACTGCTCAATGGGAGATTGATATAAACCTTTAATGCAGTAACCAACATCAGTGACTTTCAGGTTCACAAGAAGAAAGATAGATAATGAGCTGATGAGTAGGTTGAAGGAAATGGATAGTGAAGGTGCAAGAGGACATGTTCAACAAAGGCAAGCAAAGGGGACTAGTGCTGAGACCTGACAAAACAACAGATAAGACAGATATTAGATTTTAAATATAGGTTTCTAGTAATCTATCCCTTTATAGCTATGGTAAAGCAGTACAAATTAAGAAAGGGAAAGTAAAATGAAGTGAAAAATGATTTACTGCGCAGTAACACATCTTCTGCAATAGTCACATTCAGGCTTCTATTCTCAGTCCAAGAATCTGCAATGAAAATTCATGCAGCTGCTTTTGTTTTTCAGAAAATCTACTATCTCAGTATTAAAACAATAACAGAACATTGGATAAGATTCAAGTGGATTTCAGAAGTTAATTATTTTATGTACTTGCACTCTTTCAGACATTGTTTGCACTCAGGCACACGTTATATGTGGAAATAGCATTGCCCCTCTGTACAACTTTAGAGGTATTTGGATTCCGAACTCACTAACTAATAATGGCAGCTGGTATATCTCAAGTGGAAATTCTCATGTAGATTGTCTGTGTAAAGGGGAAGGGACAAAGAAAAAAAATTGTAAGTGTCCCCTGCACCACTCAAGTACACCCCAACTTGGCATCAAACTCCCACCACTGCTAAGCGCTCAGAGACACTTACACCCCCCACCGTGCAGGGCACCATATAAATACATGTTGTTGCTGTACAACAATTAATGAAAATGTCCAGTTTTCAGCATCCACCAAAGAGACAATCATCCAGGTTAAAGAGATTACCGTCAGTGTGCATATTGTTCTCTGCTCATTGTTACATTTACTGATCTCGCTGGCGTGCGCCTTTTGTCAACAAACAGAGAAACGCTCCCTAAAATTGTTAAAATAATCAAGCTCTCAGAATTTCAAATTGATCTATGATCTATTTAATAAGAATCATATAGAAATATTTCATTTAAAAGAAATCTCAGTGTGCTGTATTTGCATTTTTATGTAGCAAACATCAGAGTGCTGAGAGGGGAAGTGCAATAAGTTAGAAACTATACCTGCTCCAGTTTTTGTTTATCTGGAAAATAAAATAATTTTCTTTAAAACCGTCTCTGGACATAACCAGAATCCTATTTAAAGTCTGGAGGGAGCTGTGGAATCACTGTGGTCTTCCACTAACTGCTTCTGACTCCGATTCAATCAATCAATCAAATAACAGCAGAGAAGTTAAGAGTACCAGATAATGTAATACGAGCATTCGGGCACTGGATCCTCCAGGCTTGTTGAACTGGAGGCTGTTCACCACTGCAAATAATCCTGCTTATTCACATAAGAACTTAGAACAAGACCAGGCCATTCAACCCATCCAGCTTTCCCAGTCATTTAGATCAATGTGCTGATCCCCAGAGTACTTTCATCCATCTCCTATGTTGGCATGGAGCCTGGTTCCCTCAAAAGGTCCTTCCCACAGCATTCACAATCAACATAATCACAAAGATAAAACCATTTACAATGCAACGGTCCCCACCCAGAGGATGTTTAACAGCTAAATTTAGTAGCTCAGTAATCACCAAAAGTATTTTAAGCTGAAGGAAGCACAAGAAAAAGAAAACCATATGTTCAATTTACAACTTCCTTTGCAAAAGTGTTCTCTTATTGGTTTCATTTGTACTCCTTTACATTAAACTATAACAGTATGGCACGTATTTGGTGAGAAAATTACCGGGCTGAATCTCCAAACAAGGAAGCGTTCAGTTTGTCATATTAACTGATGTTAAAAAGCAGAATTTTTTTTTTTAAAAAAGCTATGAAATTCAAAGTCCCAAATGTCACCAATCGCAAACTGCAGTTTGTATGTAAAAACACAAGCAGACTTCAACATGAAGTGCAGTTAAGCAGTTTACATATATGCAACCTAGTCAATCATAGTCTGCATCAGGAATATACAATTAATGATGTTTGTGAGGGAGGAAGCCAATACTCATCGGCTCCCATCAACATCTTCTATCCTGCGGCTCTGACCCCCTCACCCTCCCCAGCCTATCCCTCAGACTTACCAAACCAGAGCTCAACCTAGATGTCAGATTCGACCCACAGCTGTCCTTCCTATCCCACATCCAGTCCCTGGCCAGGACCGCCTTTCTCCACCACACTGCCCACCTCTGACCGTACCTTACCCCATAGGCAGCCAAAGCACTCATCCATGCGTTAGTCACCTCCCGACTCGACTTCTTATTAAATGCCCTCTTTGACAGTCTCTCCAGCTCCACCATGCACAGGATCCAGAAGTACGCCGTATACTCACCCGTACTAAACTCCGTATCCCCGTCACACCAGTTCTTGCCAGGCTCCACTGGTTTCTTATCACTGAACGGATCGATTTCAAGATCCACGCACTAGTTTTCAAATCGCTTCATGCCCTGGCACTTCCCTATCTCTCCGACCTGCTTATCCCCCAACCCATGATATGTCCAGTTTGTAAACCGTTGTTGAAGCTTTCCATTTTATGCACCACTCGCCCTTTGCATCTGAGACAATTTAGCACCAACATTTAGATATTCATACGTCTCACCAGAACAAAGATGAGATTACTAATTTAATTTAGCACCCTTTCAGTCCCATTTAAACTCAAGGCCAGACCACGAAAGGGTCACGTGGCAGCTCAATGTACCATCTGATCTTATCTAAATGTCATAGGTACTGGAAAGCAAACTGCTCTAAATAAATACTTTCAGCCCTGATGAATCTAAATATTTCAAGTGACTGATTTTCCAACTAAATAAAACTTCAAACATAGCCATGGTGAAAGCCATATAAGACCACTGGAGAGCCTGCTCAAGACATTAAATCACAGTCTTATTTCACCTCAGACTTTCATACAAGGGAGCTGCTAGGAACTATGCAAAAATAAGCTTCAGTTAACATGCACTTCAAATAAGCTAACCAGGGACACACCTGAAGAAAGTCACACAAGGCCCTTTTTTTTAATAATATACAGAAATTGTTATATATAACAAAATATATAGGAATTGTTCTTTATAACTGATAGCTTCTAGCCAAACATGCATATAATCAATCAATTCCTAGGTCAAGACAGACATTTACTGCCAAAGAGAAATCCAATTCCAAGGGTGAAATCCACAGGTTGTCAATTTCACTCACAAATCACAGCAATCATTGGTGAATTGGCAACATCAGCAATAAAATGACCCCAATCTATTTCTCTACCAGTGAATAACACATCCATCCAATGTATAAGAACGGTAATGACAGCTTCTTGTAACCAAGTCTGCAAGCGTAACAACAATTCCAAAGTAGTCAATGGCACCTCTTATCCTTTTCCCAAGATTGTTTTAAGACGGGCGGTGAGGTTGAGGGAGCAGCAGGGATCAATCGGATTGCTTTCTGCATTAGATGTTTCCAGGTATACAGTAACGTGGGTTTTCTTATAACACAATTGGGCTGTGGGCAATAGTATTTTACCCCCAAAAAATCCAGAAATTGCACCATCAAAACCACTGGAACACTTTTAACCTTCTTGATACACTTCAAAACACATCAGCATAATGGAATTTCTGTGCGCATGTTCAGTGACCTCATTGGACCCCGGTAGCAGTGACCGGCACCTGGTCTTTTTGTAGTCTCATCAAAATTATAAAAATCTAAAAAAAAATTAAAAATCTGTGAAGATTTATTTTCGGTGGATTCCTAACAAATATTGATATTTACCAATTTACTTTAAAATCGATTCCCGCCAGCCTAACTGCAAAAATAAAACCTTGCGTTTAACCAAAAAGCACAACAATTGGGTTGGAAAAATTAGCTAAACTGATCAAGACCATAGAAATTTATAGCAGAGAAGGTGACCAACTCACTCATAATCTCCTGCCTGACCCTACGTAACCTGGGGTTCAGTTGCAATGCAAATGTATATTTTTGTTTCTACAGAAAGTGAAGCATAACATTAGATGGTATTGGTCCAGTGATAGAAGTTATTTAACAGCAGTAATCGTGTCAAATTTCAACTCTTGCTCTTGAATTGGCAGAAAGCAATGATAATGACAGAAACTCTGGCCTATTGACTGAAAAAGCAACATTAACACTGACATGTCTTTCAGCCACTTTAGGGCTTCCCTAAACGCTTCACAGATGATGGCAGCCACAATTCAACACCACACAATGGAAAACAAAGCACAACGGTTCCGGGTTGTGTAATGAGGGGTCACACATTGAGCAGAATGGAGGAAGGTTTTTTAGTTCTGTGATCTCACCAAGAATGATGTGATCATATTTTCCTATTACAGGAGAACCCTATCCCGCCACCCACGTTGCTCTTTACCTGTGTAGATTTGTCTTTCATGGATGAGGGGTAGTGTATATGGGGATCTCGAGGCCACTGTCCTGTGAGGTAAGGTCCTGTGATGGTGTCCAGAGATGAAGTGCGCCTGATAGTATTTGAGGTTCTCATCTGTTGAGATTTGGACCTTTCGACTGTGGGAGGAAACAGAAAGATTGTACAGATCTTATATTTGATGATCAAACCAGTCAGATACAGAACACAAAAGAATTCCGCTCTTTTTCTAAAAAAATACATTAACAAGTGTAAAAAGTGCGGCTCAGCACAATGAGAACGGTTCCATTCACTCGAGACATCATTAACTGTGTGTGCACCTTAGCTTTCAACAATAATAATTCATACATAGCAACATATTTCATAGAATGCTTCTTACCCCTCAACATGCCTTTGATAATACAGCTCTCCCTCCCACTTCTCCTTCCCTAAATGCCAATCATGCCACTACACAAATGCAAATTTCTCCATTCTACAAGAGCAAAAACAAAGTTTACAGACTGAGATGAATCAAGATCATACGAGAATTAGAATTCCTATGAATGAGATAGTGAAAAGTTTAAAGCTGCTAGACTATCGCACTTTCAAACAAAAAACTTTTATGTTGTCTGACATGATTGTAAGTGTGAATTTCTATTCTGCAGATAACCTTGTGCAAAAACAATGCACTGCATTATACACCAAAGGTGTATTGTTATCAGGAGTTTTGGGCTTGCAGTACAAACAGCCAAATCAACAGTGCCTCATGATGGCAACAAGCGGGCAGGTTGGTAGGGAGTCAGCAGGTCAGAGAGGCAGGAGGAGGCAAGACCATGGATAGCCTTGAAAGTGAGGACGAGGATCTTGAATTCGATCCTCTGGGGGATGGGGAGCCAGTGGAGTCGGGAGAAGGTGGGAGTGATGGGGTCGAGGAGCCTGGTGCGCGAGAGTACACGAGCTGCAGAGTTTTGGATGATCTGCAGTTTGTGAAGGGAAGAGCTGGGAAGGCCGATGAGGAGGGAGTTCCCATAATCGAGCCTTGATGTGACGAATGCGTGGGTGAGGGTTTCAGCAGCCTGAGGGGTGAGGCAGTGGCGGAGTCTGGCAATGTTGCGGTAGGCAGTGCCGATCATGGCATGGACGTGGGGGAGAAAGGATAGTTCAGAGTCAAACAAGACACCCAGATTCAAAGCGTTTCACAGGATTTACTGTCAAGTGTAGCGAGTGCAGGCAAATGGCAAAGCAAACGTCTCTCAAAACACTGATGATGCGAATGACCAATTTGATTTGGCGGAAAAAAATAACACTTGATTTGTGAGATTGTTGGTCAGGATACTGGGAGAAACTCCCTTCTCTTTTTGAGCAATGCCATGGAATCTTAAACATACACATGAACAGGTAGACAGGATCTCAAAGTACAATACAGCGCACACCCCCAGCAGTGCACCAGACTTTCAGCCTAGCCTGTAGGAGTTCAAAGTCCCGACTTGGATCTTGAACCCATAACCTTCTGACTCAGAAGCAAGATTGCTACCGAACCAAGACACTAAATAGCTTCATGTTTTAAATCTACAGAGTACATCTCTATTCTCTTCCTCCCCACAAATGGGCTGATTGCCCAGCTCAAATACATCCCCTGAGTTACCATCTCGCTCTCTTCTTGGCAAGCTCACCAGGACCCACTTGAGTCATTTGCTGCTGTATATTGTTTTTCTCTGACTAAAACAGCCTTTCTTAAACTGGAAGCCCGCATACTTCAGGCAGAATAAGACTTCAAACTCAAAGCCCAGGCCTCCAGTGTTATAAAATGCCAGCCACATGGCCAACAGTGCAGATAATATATTCCATTTTCAATAATGTTCCCAAAATGACTGTCAGTCTGCACTACCTTGGATACTCCATCAGTATTTTGTTTGTCTACAAAATAGTCACTACACTATGTGGAGTTCTGTAGCTCAGTGGTTAGAGCACTCGCCTTGCAAGCGAGACACCTGGGTTCAATTCTCGGCAGGGTGAAACCTTGAGCAAGTTTCCTTACTCCACACAGAGCCTAATAATAATCCCTCCAAAAAAAATAATAAATTGGTCATTTTCAATCCACGACTGTTTGTAGAACACTGCTGTGCGCAATTGGCTGCCGCGTTTTGTCCACAAATGTACGGTCAATTCACTTCACAGCATATTCTGTGAAGCGCTTTGAGACATTGAGAAGACGTGAAAAGCGCTATATCAAATGCAAGGATTATTAGATTATTATATACAACAAATGTTAAGAAATTTGAACACCCTCCTGACATGAAAGGCGATATACCAAAGGATTAATATTAAAATAAGTCTATTTCAGTTTATAATAATACTTTCACTTGATTTAGCACCTCATCACATCATCGAGACATCGCCAAGCCCTTCATAGAATATACTGTAAAGTGAATTGACTGTATATTTTGTGGATATGTTATTACCAACACCATTTACTTTCTCACTCATCATTTGATAAGTAGTGCAAATCTTTTAAATTAAACAAATGAAATATTTTTACAGGGTGTCCACATTTTCAAACAATATATTGCTCATAAAATTCAAAAATTATATATTAACAGATAGCAGAAAATAAAAATGAATATTGTGTGATAGTCTGTGTGTCCAAGCCTTCCTGTCAACTCAACTGGTAGACTTTGTCATTAATATTTCACTTAAAACAGCCCTAATGCAATCAAACATCTAAGCCAAGTTAAATATTCACTAAATTAGCTTCAACAGGCTCTCTTTATACATTCTCCTTTGCTTTTGCATCCAGAATTTTGCAGGTGTGTTTGACCATGTTTACTCTTTTCGCTAAAACAGCAGAACCATGAGGCATGGACTTCACGTAGCCACCAGCACCCTGCAACCAACTAGTACCCTACTCATTTTTTTAAAAAAAATGATTCTGCGATGGGAAGTTGGGTTTTCAGAAAGGTTGAGATTGAATGTGCCAAAAGGGCCATCTTATCCAAATCTCAACGACAACAACAACTTGTCTTTACATCGTACCATTCAAGCAGCATCTTGGAGCGCTTAACAGGGGCAGAGGAATGTGCTCCGAGAAGCTACCCTGCGTGGAAGGCGCAATATAAGTGCAAGTTGTTGTTGTTGCCGATGAATGGGGGAAGGAAGGAGGTGACTATAAGCATGGTCGAGGAACATCTTCGTGCATGATCTAAAAACGGGGAGGAGGGGCAAGGCAGAAGGATTGTTTGACAACAGTTCCAAAGTTTTGGGGCGTAGTGGAGTCGCAGCTGGATTAGGCAAATTAGATTTGTGCGTCATCTGCATACATGTAGAAGTTGACCCCGTGTCTGTGGATGGCATTCACCATTTGGGAACATGTAGATGAGGAAAAGAAGGGGTCCAAGGATGGAGCCTTGGTGTACGCCACAGGTGAATGTGCAGGAGCAGGAGGAAAATCCTATTACGGGAAGAAAAATCTATTATGATCATTTGTTGAGAAAGATCAATGCTGGAAACTCTTCCTTTACCTTGCTTTATTTATTTTAAAATGCATAAAATCAGGTGTCAACCTGCTTCAGTTAGTAGCCCTCTCACCTCCATGTCAGAAAGTTATGGATTCAACTACCACGTCAAGACATTGACCTCATCATGGCAGGTTCACACTTCAGTGTAATAATATAATAATAATAATTCTTGCATTTGATACAGCGTTTTTCACGTCTTATCGACGTCTCAAAGCGCTTCACAGAATAGACTGTAAAATGAATTGACCGTATATTTCTGGGCGAATAACTATTCGTAGCTCTATTTGTAACTCTACCACCCACAAAATCTAGCTGACCCAAAACTCCACTGCCCAAATTCTCACCCATAACATACTTGGCACCCCCATCACCCCAACAACGATATCAATAATTCACCCCAATCCTTACCAAACTCCACTTATTGCAGAACAGATCAATTTGGAGATCCTCAACTTTGCTTACAAATCAATTCATGCCTTACCAACTCCTTAGGTCTCCGATTTGCTTACACCCCACTCCATTACCTGTTCCCTTCACTCTGCTGGCTCCAGCCTTCCACACGTCCCTTGTACCCTACACTACCATTGGCAGCCACACTTTAGGGCACTATGCTCAGAAACTTTGGAACGCTCTGCTTCAATAACTCCACCTTGACCCATCCTTGCCTGTTTTCAGAGCAGATCTGAACACCTTCCTTTTCAACTGTGCCTATGCACCCCCACCCCTGGTTAGGTAGGGATCAAACTCCACTAGGGTCAAGCACACTAAGATGCTATCCACATGAAGGGCTCTATATAAATGCAAGTTGTTCTTGTTTTCACTACACATTATAGAAGCAAGATGATCGGCATTATATCAAATGCAAGGATTATTATTAAATGGATAGCTCTTACAGAAAACCAGCACAGAACAACGGGACAAATGGCCTATTTCTGGGCTGAATCATTCAGATCCTAAGGAGTCCACCATTACACAGCAGCCAGACTAGAGCTGATGAAATTCATATAACCAAGGTTGCCAATCTAAAAGTCAATCCTGTCAATGAATTAAACTTATAACCCTGCAGCTGAAAGTCCCACAATCCGAAATACTACTGGAACAGGCTTCCCCTTGACCCTATCAAAAGCAATAGGTAAAGTTAAAAATAAAAAGTTGTCAACTATATATCATGCAGCAATGATAAATTCAGATTCGACATCGCCTTTCATACAGAAAGTTTGTTTCGATCATCGGGCATTGTGCAGAAATTGAAAGCAAAATGATTGTGTTCCTGAAATTTATCAACAAGGATCTCTAAAGCAACAGGTATAGCACATTGAATAAGAACAGTTGATATAAAACTAAGGGCAGAACTATTTGATTAATCAACTAGAACGACACTTGATAAAGGTTCAGAGTGCCAGGCCTTCTACACAAGATTATTCAGCCAGTGTGCTACAGGAAACAAGTCTTTGAGCATGCTGACATGAATTAATGAGGCTGAGATTTCTATTCAACAAGGAATGAAGAGTGCAAACTTTCAATGCAGTCTCCAGTAGTTTCTTAATCAGCTCACGTGGCTACAGCTTTATAGATCATTCAATGTGCCTTCTATACACCAACAACCAGTACCATAAACCTCTGCAAGATGGAAAGGTACGTCTTCT